GAAATGTAATAAAAAGATTTTCTATGAGAGAGAGAGAGAGAGAGAGAGATATACCAAAGAGAAATATTTCGAGGTAGCAATTTTTCTAGTAGAAAAGTTCATTTCGTAAATTCAACGAGTGATATTTGATACATTTCAATGATTCCACATATTCCATGGATCGATAATATATTCCTTACTCTCTTATAGAAAATTCTTCTTTCCATCGGAAAAGGAAAAGGAAAAGGAAGTATCGAAAGAAAAAGAAGAAAAATAAGAAGAAAAAAAAAAAAGGATAAAAATCTTATTCTCATTTTATCGGTTCGTCAATACGTATCACGTATACCATTCCCATATATATTACCTACCTATATACATATATATATATTTACATGTATGTGTAAGTGAATATCCGTGTAGATGCAAATAAAAATTAGACGCAAAATAAATGGGGGTGTATTTTGTATGAAGCAAAAGGGTGGTTAGATGGAATTGCACATAACCCACAACCTCAAACCAACAACCCCCCAACCCTCCAACCCCTTTGCCCAATACACCCTTCCTTCTTTTTCTTCTTCCTCCTCCCCCCAATCCCCACCCTCACGTATATAATCCAAACGTGAATGATGGATCGGGGGATACAATTTTCTTTATTGGTCTTACACAAACATGTTAGAAAAATGCTTACGAGGATAACACACTTCGATTTTTATATTATATATTTCTTTTTTTTTTTTTTTTGTAACACCCACCCTTGTACCACCCCCGCCATCCCTTGACTCCCAATCCTGTTCTCTCTAATTTGTTTTTTTTTTTTAATTTTATTTTTCGCGATTCTTTTTTCTTCTTTATAGTAAAAAAAATAGATAGATGCCTATCGTGATTCGATTTTGGATGCGTTACACGTGTTTGGAACGTAATACGATTCGATTTGGCATGCAAACAAAATTCACTCCGATTTAATCGTATTCCTTTCTTCTCTTTTTCTTTTTTTTTGTTCCTTTTATCTCATCGATTGACTCGACGAAAAATTCTTTTATATTCTACTACGTAACGTGAACGTGTGGAAATAAATTGATAGAAAAAAAAATAAAAAAGAAGAAAAACAAAGAAGAAAATAAATAACGAAGGATAGGTGTATCGAAAATGTGTGTTACCGACGTTTCATAATGTTTCTTCTCATTGTTCGCAATCCCGAATTTCGATAATTCATTCGTACCGAGTTATATGCATTCGGAGATGCACCAGACAGGGCTGAAAATTATCGTTCAACTTATGACAACGTTTTCCTCCTATCTCTGCAAATTCGGTATATGCGCTTTTTATCTGCATTAATAAAAATAAAACACAGGAGAAACAGAAGAGACAAATTTGATATGCGAACTTTTATTGCCAAGAAACAAAAAACAATGAAACATTTTTCGATATTCGAAAACAAAACCATATTTACCAATTATTTATCTTTGTCAACTGGAATAATTTGTTGGACAAACCCTTGTTCTCGATATTTATTTTATTTTTTTTTTCCATTGAATACACTTTAACAATTTATTTTTTGTAATATATTATATAAATATTTGATTTTCGAGACTCGGTTATTTTTATTGTTTTTTCTTTTTTTCCTATTAAATGTTCGTCGATATATCAATAAAAATGATTGAAGGTTTTAAATAGTGTAGAATTTTTGTATTTTTATTTCACCATTGTAAAAATGATTCTCGTTAAAATCAAATGTATCCATGTAATAACGTGAACACGATTTTTTTTTTTGGAAAAATTCTTTTTAAAAGTGATTATAATAAAAAAAAAAAACAAGAAGATCCCACGGTTCTCCCAGGTTTGTATTTTTGCATATTTGTAAAAAATAAAAAACCAAATAACTTTGTCTCTTCTTTTCTTATTTTTCTTTTTAAGCTCAGTTTGTAGGATACTCGATTCAACCCTTTTACTCGTTTATCTTTTATGAACAAAAAAAAATATATCTAGATAAAATCTTACTTTAATCTAGCGACAAAAGAAATTTTCTCGTTTGAGTAAAAAAAAAAAAATAGAAAAAGAAAATACTTCTTCTTCTTCGTCACGTATTACAAATTCTTATTCTCGTTAATTTCACCTTTAACGAGACACCTTTCTCCTTTTCTATATTCTTTTTTACAAATGTCAGACGGAGAATAATGATAGAAGAGAAGAGTAGAGAAAAATAAAATAAAATAAAGAGACAAAACGTTTCGAGATCAACGTGACCACGAGTATAATAAGAAAGAGAACCATTATGAAATTCCATTGTACGAATATGCGTGAGTTTTCACGCTGACTGAGAAAGAGAGAGAGAAAGAATCCGACAATCAAATTCAAAAATTCATTCACGAAAAAGTCTGGAAGATAGATTGAAGTGAAATACAAAATTTCATATCCCCTATCTTTGAGAAAGAAAACAAAAAGAAACGTAATTTATTATATAATACATACCTATTCTAATATCGTATATTAAAATTCTATCCATTAATGAGAATTATTATAAAATAAATCAATTAAAAATAAGATAAAAAACACATTATATATATAGAATTTGTTTAAAGAAAAAGAATAAGAAGTCATGAAAATATTTTTATATAAAAATATCAAATAGATAATTTGTTATTTATTATATAATACATACCTTTCCTAATATCGTATATTAAAATTCTATCCATTA